TATCTTCAAATATATTAGTTATAATGAATACTTTATTTCTTTTATATCATGTATATCATTAGTTTTAAGAAACAATGTGTAAAAATAATTTAATTCATGAAACAAATATATAATTAAGAGCTCAAATAAGTTCACTATACTTAATCCAATCGACTGTTATTGTAAGAAAATCTATGTGACTTATTGCTATAGTTAAATTAGAATAATCATTGGAGAAATAATTATATTTTAAATGTATAGTAAAATAAATAGTTAAGTGGCTGTTAGAAATTTATGTCAATGCCATTTTCTGTTAAAATAAACCATTAATAGTTAATTATTCGTCCGCCGTAGGGCGGATTTATTCTAATATCATTATATCAATATGATTCTCTATTTTAACTTAACATGGACAATAATATGCTTCTTATTTCTCTACGTCCAATAAAAGTTTATGTAATTAGAAGAATTAAATTAACCACCACAAAGACAAGCAACAACATCAGTTACCAAAAATATGAACCACCTTGGCATAGGAATGAAAGAGAACAAAGCATAGAAGAAAATCTCAAATTCTTCCTCACAACCACAGTTAGCTAGATCAATCTCCAAACAATTTAGGATTAATTGTGGTCACCAAAAGGCCCCTAAAGGTTGATGCAGTCTCATACCACAAAATAAGTACAGAGTTACGTCCATGTAGTGGAAACAATAAGTAAACCTTTTCAGCAAATCATAAAAACAGATCCCAACAATGAACTGATCAACTATCAGTCAGTAGGTTGGAGAGTCATGTTCCATGCAAAAACTAACCTAAAAAACTCAATATAAATCTAAACCAAGATGCTAGACTACTTGAGATCATAAGTTGTCAATTAAAAAGAAACAAAGATAATTTTTAATCTTAGCCATAACTTCATTAAATTACATAAAAAATAGATGTAGACACGAGCCAATACGTTCATGATGAGGATGGGAATGCTGCGGCGTCTCTGTGAAACATCTCATTAAACAGATCTTGTCCCTCTTCAAAACTGTCCCCTAAATTATTATCATACCAAAATCAAAATCTCAAATATCAAACAATTAATCATGTCTAATAATAAACAAAAGGGAAAAACTAATGCAGAGTCTTACACTTTGCAGAGATTCATCATGGCCACCATCTTGTTAAAGAAATCTCCTATTCCCTGTAAACCAAAAATGATTCATCACCACATAGTTAAACAATGAAATATCAGATTTAGAAATTGAAACATCATTAAACAATGATGGATAAAAAGAAAATAAAAAATCTGGTCTCTAAGATGTGATTTTCGATGTGAAGCTTTTGCTCATCAAAGTAAGGATCTTCACAACAGGAGGACCTCCACAGTTTGGGCATATAGCATGCTTGAGGATACTCTTTGAAAATCCTACAAAGAGACTGTCATGACCCATCTTCTGGCCCATCAAATTTGGCCCAAGGCGAAGGCCTAATTGCAGAAGCCCAAGGTATTTTCTTTAAATACCAAATTCTCCAGCTTTGTTATCTTCACCTGCAACCAAGAAAAAGAAAGGAGTTAGAGAAAGAGAGATAGAGTTTAAGAAAGAGAAGTGTTGGTGTTTGCATGCAGAGTTGGAGCCACCAGAACTCGTCGCCGGAGCCACCACACGCGAGGAACACACTGAGCTCGTCACCACCGACCCCCAGCCTAGGTAATCCCGGAAACCACCACATTTTTCGAGTTAGTTATGATACGTTTAGTAAATCGACCATAACTTCCTAACCGTTGAGAGTCTCGTGAATGAAAGACTACCACCATGTTCTACTCGTCGAGACGAAGCCGTAGACCCCAAAAACGTCGCGATCCGACCTCAGATGAAGCCGCACGCGCCCTCCGAAGATTCGCCGCCGGAGCGCGTGACGTCCACGCGCCGCCGACGCGCCGCCGCCTCCGCCGACTCGCCGCCGACGCGCCGCCGCCTCCGCCGCGCGTGAGCCACACGCGCCTCCGTCTCCGACCGCCGGTCGCCAGAGCCGCCGTAGCCGGCCGCCGTCAGTCCGTCGCCGGGAAGTCGCCGCCGCCGCCGCCTCGCCGCCGCGTCGTCGCCGGAGATCCGCCGGTAAGCCGCCGTCCCTTCTCGCCGGACCGGTGACCAGAGCCGGTGACTCGCCGGTGTCTCGGTCAACTCGGCCAGGTTGACTCGGTCAACCTGTTTGTGCTTGGTCAAAATCGGTTTTGTTGGTTAGGGTTAAATCGGCGGTTAAAATCAATTAGAAATCGGTTAAGGTTAAACCGGTTAATTAAATTAATTTATTTTGGTTAAATGTAAACCGGATTGAAATCGATTGGGATTTGGTTCAATTCAATTCGAAATCGGTTAAGGTCAAACCGATTTGGTTTAGTCAATTGATTTCTAGTCAAGGGTTGACCGGGTTGACTTTGACCTGCGAGTTGACTCTTTGTCTAATCTATCCGAAACCCGTTTTAAACCGTTCGAAAGCCGTTCTGACTCGATTTTTCGCCCTGGTTTCAGATTTGAAGTCTATTTGAGCACCTGGAGACATAGATACCACTTCTATTCATTGCTAGGTGAGGGCTACTCCGATTTAACCCCGAACTAATTTAGTACTATTATTATGAAAAGTCTAGTTTCGAAACATGTTCCGTCTCTATGTATCGAGTCTGTTTGAGATTCTTTCTTGTGTAGTTATCATTATTGACTGCTAAACCGGATATAGGATAATAGAGGATTCAACGGTTGTATGAGATGATTGATGCTGAGCACTGTTATATATATATATGTATATACATAGTTACTAGTAGGGGCTATGCGTGGGGCGTGAGTTCGGAGATGTCCGAGCTTCGACGCTACGGTGTATTGGGCGTGAGTTCAGAGCTGTCTGAGCCTCGACGCTACGGTGTATGGGTGTGAGTTCAGAGACGTTTGAGCTTCGACGCTACTGCGTGGGGCGTGATGCAGAGACGTTTGCATTCGACGCTACGATGGGCGGGGGTACAGAGACAGACTGTACTGGCGACGCTTCGAGTATATATATATATATATCCCTATGTGGAAATGCGTGGTGCAGAGAGTAGCTTTGTGCTATTAGCGCATTGATTGTTGTTCGGTGAGGTGTATTAGACACCGTGTTTGTTACATGCTAGAGTTAGGCCTACATTGTTCTAGTGCTATGAACTGAGTCAGTGGTTTGAGGTTTAGCACCCCATACCTCACTGAGCGACTCCCCTGTTGCTCACCCCTCCTTCTTCTCCCCCTTGCAGGTGAGACCGATGAGCAGGAGTGATTCTATCGGACCGGTGCTATTTGGGCTTTTGGGCTTCTATCTTATCTTATCGTACTCTATCGTATTTTATCGTTATTGGGCTTATAAGCCTTTGGACTTTTATCGCATATGTCGTTTCGTATTTTCAGACTTCCGGTTTATGTTGTTATTTATATTTCGGATATTATGTGGTATTGCGGATTTCCGATGTGGATGTTGACTTTTCAGTATTTGGTAATGAAACTTATGTTATTATTATTTGGCTATTATATTTATATTATTTGGAGAAGTCGGGTGTGACAGAGACATTGATTATAAGTGTCTGAACAACAACAAAAAAAACAAAAGAGCGAGAGAAGCAATTATGTTTCAAGTCGTTGAATTTGTTAAGCGGTGTGAGGATGGTAACTATTCTTCTTTCTATCAGTCTCAGAGCCGTCGTGATGTTAGCTACAACCACCACCGTCTCCTCTGCCGCTTCCACTTCTACTTCCACTCCCACTTCCACCGATGGAGAAGCTCATCTTTTTGTTANAAAAAAACAAAAGAGCGAGAGAAGCAATTATGTTTCAAGTCGTTGAATTTGTTAAGCGGTGTGAGGATGGTAACTATTCTTCTTTCTATCAGTCTCAGAGCCGTCGTGATGTTAGCTACAACCACCACCGTCTCCTCTGCCGCTTCCACTTCTACTTCCACTCCCACTTCCACCGATGGAGAAGCTCATCTTTTTGTTACAAATATCTAAAAGACAAAGAAAAGAACAGTAAAACAATATGTCTAAAAAAAAACTTTTCTTTTTCTCTCTCTCTTTTCAGCCAACCAACAAACTGTTAATGGTCCATTTACACCCATGTCGCCATTAACGCAGACCCAGTAGAGAAGAGAGAACAAACACTTCACCGGTTTCTCCACCAATGGATCAGACAAAACCTCAACTCGGAAAAAGGGGAAACGGAGAAGATGAAGTGAGTGAAAGCTAAACGATCAACGACTCAATTTGTAGGATTAGGGTTTGTGAAATCGGGAAAATGGGAAACAGAGAAGATGAGGTTTGATTGATATTGGTGATGAAGATCGGGAAAAGGGGAAACAAAGAAGATGAAGTGAGTGAAATCTAAACAATTGACGACTCAATATGTGGGATTAGGGTTTGAGAAATCGGGTTCAAGAGAACCGTGATATTTTTCTTTCAACACAGATTGCTTTCTTTTTTCGTGGTCAACCTAGACTATTTTTTGGTCAACATATATTCTTTCTTATTTATTCGGTCAACACAGATTTCTTTCTTCTTTGTCTTTATTTGAGGGAAATATATTTTCCGCTCGAGGTGATATATACTTATTTTATTTTCTATTATACTTCTTAAAGTTAAACATATATAATATGATCCCGTTGATTTGTTTCCTCAAAACCCACCAACAGATACTAATTTCTAAAATATAACTTAATTTTTCTATTTATTTGGGAAACTGAAATTAGAATGAAGTATACCATATATATATATATACTTATATACATTAATAGCAAAGATAAATTAAGTTGTTCCTGTGAAGAAAGCAATCTGTGCACATATATTGTCTTAATTGTCTTCACATATATTTAATAAATATATACAGGTCCAACCCAAAATATATTTAGCTCATGTGCACAACTACATTTTTAACGTCCAAAGCTGGCACTGACTATATATATAAGTACTCTTCACCACACTATGACATAAGCCTTGTAAACATTATACGCCAAATCCAAAATGGTATCAGCATTGTCTGTGTTTGTGGCTCTCACCATAATTTCCATTAATCTAAAGATCTTTCAAGCCACATCTAATATCACTTTGCATGAGCAATCCATTTTTGATTACCACCAGAAATGGATGATTCAGTTTTCTAAAGTTTACAAAGATGACTTCGAGAAAGAGATGAGGGCCAAAGTGTTCAAGAAGAATTTGAAATTTATCGAGAACTTCAATAATATGGGGAATCATAACTATGAACTTGGTGTCAACGAGTTCACCGATATGACTAAAGAAGAGTTTCATGCCACCTACACCGGTCTACAGGGCATTAACGTAACTTCACTACCCAAAGTGGTTGATCCAACGTTCTTTTGGCTACCGAGTAGTTATAACAAAGACTGGAGAGACGAAGGAGCTGTAACGCCTGTCAAAAAACAAGGAAACTGCGGTAAGCTTTCTGTGTTTATTTATTATAAACATTCTTAATAAGTACTAAAGTGGAAATTATACAATGTAGTACATGGCTAGTTTGGTCATTTTATGTCATAAGATAAAAATAATACATTCTGCATACAAAACCTAACCCCGAGTTAGGGTTATTAGTATAGGTGGTTACCGGGTAATTTATTTTATATTAAAATGAAGTAATCAAATGTGCAGAAAGTTGTTGGGCGTTCTCAGCTGTAGCAGCGGTGGAGGGTTTAACAAAAATTTCTGGAAAAAGACTCGTATCACTGTCGGAACAACAACTTGTAGATTGTGTTGGTGGTTGTAAGCCAGGACATATGGTATATGCTTTCGACTACATGATAAAAAATGGTATTTCTTCAGATTCAGAATACCCTTACAGAGGAGTAGCAGGGCGGTGCCGTTCCAGCGCCAAACCCGCAATAAAGATAAAAGGGTATGAAAGGGTAGCACCCCTCAGCGAGCTTGGATTGCAAATAGCTGTAGATAGACAGCCCGTTTCGGTGACCCTTGATACGAGTTCGGACAGTTTCATCCATTACAAAGGGGGAGTGTTCGATGCGACGGACTGTGGGATCGGAGCGGATCATGCAGTGGCGCTCGTTGGGTATGGGACTACGGATGAGGGTGTAAGGTACTGGTTGGTTAAAAACTCTTGGGGTAAGTATTGGGGTGAGAAAGGTTACATGAGGATCCTTAGAAGTGTGGACTGGCCTGAAGGAATGTGTGGTGTGACTCGGAATCCTTTTGTTCCGGCAGTTTGATGATTAATATTGAAGTGATCATACACTAGTAGCCTGGTTATGGATTGTTGGCGTGTATTCTAAATCTACATCATAACCTATAATCATAATCTATTGATTTCCCTTTTGAAAATAAAACATAAGACATATTGTTTGTATTATTATCAATACAAATTCTGAAAATATTTTGTTTTGTTTTGTTAGTAACAAATATGGTATTTTCAGGACGCTTCTGTAAAATTATAACTATAGAAAAAAAATTAGCATGGCTCTTGCGCACTATATTAAGATTAATCCATTAAGTAAGAAAATCTGAAAGAAAGAAAGTAAGGAAAAATATATAAATTATTAAAAATGAACAGGTCTAAAAGAGAAAAAAATTTCTATATGATTTAAAAATACTTAAAACATATAAAAATGCATCTCTAGAAAACAAATCATCAAATACTTTTACATATAAATTTTTCCAAAATAGTCCTAATTTTCAAGAGCTCATTGTCTTTACAAAATATTTTATATTTAATAAATAATGGGGAAAGTGCCACCATAGTCTAAGCACCGGCTTCTTCCTTGGATATCATTATTATAAAAATAAAGAATAGATTAGTTAGGTTTTTTTATTCATTTTTGGTAACATAGATTTCTTACTTCTTTTTCGGTCAACATAGAATTTATTTTTCAACACATAGTACTTTCTTTTTTCTTGGTCAACCTAGAATTTTTTTTGGTCAACATATATTTCTTTCTTATTTGTTCCGTCAACAGAGATTTCTTTCTTTTTTGTATTTATTTGAGTTAAATATAGTTTCTGCTCCAGGTGATATAAAATTATTTTATTTTCTATTATACTTCTTAAAATCAATCATATATAATATTATCCCGTTGATTTGTTTCCTCAAAACCCACCAATAGGTACTAATTTCTAAGTATAGCTTAATATTTCTATTTATTTGGGAAACTGAAATTAGAATGAAGTATAACATATATATCTATATATATATATANTTTCTGCTCCAGGTGATATAAAATTATTTTATTTTCTATTATACTTCTTAAAATCAATCATATATAATATTATCCCGTTGATTTGTTTCCTCAAAACCCACCAATAGGTACTAATTTCTAAGTATAGCTTAATATTTCTATTTATTTGGGAAACTGAAATTAGAATGAAGTATAACATATATATCTATATATATATATACCTATATGCATATATACTTATCTATATATAATAGCAAAGTCAAAATGATGTAATCTCTTTTTTTTATAGGAAAATAAAATTTAAATCTAACGGCTGAGTTTGTCTTAGTTTGATGATTTAACGGTTCTAATACTGTGTTTATATAATAGTCTTACGTCAGCAATGTTTCCGCGAAACAACGCTTCTTTTGTGGTCTTCTCCCAAGCGACGCTTCTCTTAGACCACAAACTTGTACAGACGCGTCCTTTAACAAGTTGCATCTATTAACAAGATTATATATTGAAATTTAGAGTCTTTTTTCGCATCTATTCGTAGGCATCATCATCGCAGCATTTATATGATCTATGATTCTACTGTCGCCAAATCTCGTCACTTATTTGTTTCAACCGATCATTTGAATGGCAAAGTCTCTGTTTCTATTCTCTGTTTCTAATGGAGTTGCGAGTTTGATGAGTGGTAAAATTATGAATTTGTGTGATCGATTGCTCGTTACAAGATATTTAATTGATTTTGGTTTGTGTCTGCAGTTCATAAACAGAGGGATCTTGCTCTTGTGGATGTTAACGATGATACTGATGATGGTTTCGATTAGGATGATGTGAAACCTGTTTTTGATTTAAAAGTTCTTACTTTCCTTTTTAAACTATTCTGTCTGATTATTTGCGATACTTATCTTTTTTTTTTTTTTGTGCACCAAAGTCTTTTATTGATGATCTAAACGATTACACCAAAAGCAACATCGTACAACTCACAATGTGCGAAACAAAAGGCTAAACCCCAAACATATAAAACGATAGAATACGAGGATAGAGACACAAACTTATAAAAGTTTGATAAAATGTTATGAAAGATATCAAAGTTGCCACTTGCGATCTTATTGAACCGCACTTCAAAATCTTCAAATAACGAACGATTAGTCACAATAGCATATGACGTCGAAGCACCATCCAAAACCTCAACTCTCAATCGCATGAGAATCGTTGCATCTACCGGCCCCAGGTGGACCTTCACACAAGATAGCAAACGGCTAGGATATTGGTAATTTTTTCGGATTTTGAATACCGGAAGAGGATCACCTCTTGTACAGAGGGAAATTGGTGGAAGAATTCTCCCCTTTGAGAAGGAGGATATGTAGAAAGATCTCTCTCGGCCCTGTCGAGAGGAAGTTTGATTTAACTCATCCTCAAAGGATGATTTAAAAGGACTGTTTCTGTTGAGCTTTAGAAGTCTCAGATTAGAGGATGAAGCTGAGCATTGTTGTAAGATACTGACCATCGAGTCAACAAACATATACTTCATAACCTTGAGAGATTGACCTTTGTGTACCGAGCTTCTAAACCACTCTAGTAGTCTGGCGGGAAATGCATTGAAGCTATGAATCTTCACCATAAAGAATTTAGTCATTAAAGAGCTTTTCACCTTAATACCGGCAGACAAAGGGATGGGTTTGACACCAACTTCTGAGGGAACTAGCGTTGATTTCAGGCAAAGGCATCCCACTCCAGCATTACCGTGTTGGAGCCCGGGAGATTTGACGGAACCAAAACAGAGCCATTGGTCGTTGTGGTCAAACAAACTGTGAAAGGTTGAGCAGTCGTCGGTATGTGTAGCTTCAAATGGTGTCTGTAATGAACATGGATTGGTTCGTGGGTCATCAAACGGGTGAAATCTTGTCGGTGTAGTTTGGTAGGAATACTCAGAACCGTTGAGCCTCATAGATCTGACAAACAGAGAACAGAGAGGACTAGTATAGGAACCACACGCACAGCAAAACCAGTTAGCATCGATCTTCCCCGAAGGGAGAAAATTCATCGTCGTAGGAGACGAAGAGGAGAGCACACGTCGCAACAGCTTTAGATCTGGGATCTGAGAATAACAAATCGAAGAAGTGCTGGTCTTATGAGACAGATCTGGAACTAATGCGGACAATAGAGATGGAGAAGGGCTAAGCAAGAGCCAAAGGATAAAATGACAGCAACGGCAGCATCTCCAGCACATAGCGACAGCGAATGAGCATAAGAAACCAAAGCCCACAAGGAGCTCGTGAAGTAACAAGGTAACATGGAGCGTAAGAGAGACAAAGGGAGGGACGACGACGGAGAGGCTGCGACGCCGGCGAGCTATGGAGCTGCCGGCGTCGGATTCCATGGGCGTAAGAGGTGCTTCGATATCTGTGTCTGGGAGCGTTATTCTTGTCCTTTTCTAAACGCTACTCTTTGCGATACTTATCTTCTGTTTCTGTTGCTTTGGCTTATAGGGAAGAAGAAGAAGAAGAAGAAGAAGAAAAAGGACTGATTGCTAAAAGTAACAACTTAGATGCCTTCTTGCGTTATTGATATTTTAATTGCCATTCAGAATTAGTCAATTATCTCGCTCTTTGGGAAGAACAGAAGGTAACCAAAGCTTTACTTAATCCATCAAAAGGAAGTGGATTATTTCTTTTTTCTCTTTCAAATTTAGAGGAAGATGTCATTGACTAGAAGTAAGATGTTCGCTGATAAAAACAAATTACTAAGACGTTCAATTTTAAAATCTGCATCATCTAACAAGAGTTTCAAATTGAAGAACTGTGATTGTCTCGATTGCTATTTATCTACAGTTATATGGGCGTGTGGACGGTGATTAGGCAGCGTTGGAACACTCGGGGAGATAATCGTGGCGTTTTGGCGTTAAAAGGTTAAAAAATCGTTTTACTGTAAAAAATCTTAATTTGCCGAGCTTTAATGCGTAGAATCGAAATAATCAAGCCAACTCTACAGATTTAATGGAAGAACAACAAGAAAGCACAATACTTTGTGGATGTAAAATTTGCAGAAAACTTTAACGACAGATAAAAGAAGAAGAAAAACCATTTTGCCACTCTTCAAAAGAAAACATTTGTAAAAAAAAGTTACACGCGTAGAAACGTTTCAGTCGAACTTCCGATTTGTTGTTCAAATCAAGCTACTCTTCCTATTCTAGACACTGGCCACATAATACCGTGCCTGGTATTTTCTTATATCAAGTAGTTTTTTTGGGTCAATAAATCGATTAATATGTATATATAAACATATCCATAAAATATAGAAATCTCTGATATTTTGTTAAATGTCAGACTCAACCGACTGTCCGAGGTACGCCTAACGTAATTTAATACGGAAAATCTTAGCAAAAATTAGTTAGTGAAATAATTGTTTTTTTTTATACCGACTGAAATCAGTTTGATTACAGTTTAATACCAGACCGTAGAAACATTTTAAAAATACAACAACTTTTTTCTCCAAGTAATTTTGTTATTGTTTTTCTTTTGTCAACAGTAATTTTGTTACTGTTAAATGTAACAAAACTTAAAAAACACAAGAATTTGAAGTTTTGAACTCATTATTATTATCTTTTGTTGTTCAGATAATTTACATACTAAGAAACAAATCTGCGCATTCGCGCGGACCATCTAATTTCTAAATTAAAATTGTAAATTATTTAATATAATATATTATAGATATTTGATTTATTAATCAAATTTGTACATACATAAAAGTTTATATTTTAAATATTATTTTATATATTCTATGTGTAAAGTTTACATTTTTTGAATATTATTTTATCTTTTTTTGAAAATATTGCAACCAAAAGTTTACATAAATATGAAACACTAAAATAGAGATAAAATATTTTCAATGATAGAAAGATATGAATGAGTAAGCTTGTGAAGTTTTATTTATCTATCAGATAAGTTTGGAACAAATGAAATTTTGTGAATTAATCAATTTAAAATTATAAATAAAATTTCAATATTAATATTATTATAACATATCTCATGACCATAAAAATAAAACAT